ATCATTGCACAGTCTGAGCACAGACATCATCCTGGTGAAATTGTTAAACTCTATTAATGCCCACACTTTAACAGAGGTGGTCACACTGCTACTTACCTTCTTTGTTCCTAGAGAAACAGCGTGGGTGGTTTACACAAGACTGAAAACAGTCTTGTGTAAACTTTATTTCTCATATCTGTATATATAGTATTTCCAGTTTTCTATTATTACATTTTAATTTTCTCGCTTCTATTATTTGTTTTTAAGGCAGTTCCCATGTAACCGTTTCTCCTCCAGTCTTATCAGCACAGCTGGCTGTGTGACATGACCCAACGTGACACGAACACAATAGGTACAGGACTTGACTGCAGAGCCACAGCTCTGGGAGAGACAGCGAAGAGGTGTTTTTTGTGGCTGAAAGGAACTAAAGAGCTGTGGGTGTTCGTCTGATGGTCATGAGGAATCAATAGAGACTGTTCAATGAGTAACACAACACTGGTTCAGAACAGGGGCATGGGCGCCACTAATTGCTCTTGCTTTGTTTGCAATTAGTCCAACATTCTGCCTCTAATGTGATTAGGTCACTTCAGATAAAAGAAGCTTTTGGCAAACACCTACTACGGATGGTGTGTCTGACGTAAATCTGAAACCTCTGTCATCCATCAGCTCGCAGCTGCCCTATGAAGTCTGAGCTGAACAATTTGATAAGATCAGATCTGTTTTTTGTTACTTTGACTCCAGCTGCGGTCAGTTGTTGGGAAATGTCAAGTTGTGAAGAAACCGTTAGCAGCTGAAGACATTATAAGGCAATAGTTAATATAAAGAGAATTTTTCAACCAGCCACATGATGCAGGCTATGTGACACCAGAGAATAAACACCAGAGAAAATATAAAACAGCGGCTCTACTCTGATCTACTTTCCATCGCTACACACAGCCTGTTTTATTTGTGGCTAAGGAGCGGTAATGTTGTAGCCAGTGACACTGACAAAAGTCAATGCAGGAGTTATAAGCTGCTGTAGAATAAACATAATTTAAGCTGATTAATATTAGCTGATGCTAGCAAGCACATACTGCTTATTATTGGTTTATTACCTCTAAGACTTCACTGCTATTGCCAAACAGCAGCCTGTTTTTAATGCTTAGTTTATTTTTTTGGTCCCAGTTATGCTAAATGTGTAGCAGACAGCAACATTAGTTACCATGTATTTGAAGATCGATCTAGTCCACAGTGGGCCTTCACCAAAGCAGACCAGGACATTGTTTCATGGTCCTCGGGTCTTTTTCATTATTTTGAATTCTCAGTTGATATAGTCGAGTTGGTTGAGTTTTGAATTACAGTTTTGAGGCCTTATTATGAATTCAAATGTAATATTAGGCTTAAATTGTATTGTATTACATCTGTATCTTGTTGATTTTCAAATTCCTGTTAAGACTGCTTTACTGTTCTAGAGGTTTTCTTGGTCATTATTTGGCTTCAGTTCCTATTTTGAATTAAACTTGCTTCCTGTTTTACTCTGATAGTTGTTTTTCTTTTGTGTCTTGTTTTGGATTTGCTTTAACATCTGTTTGATTCTTAGGTTGTTGTTTTTTTTTTGTTGTTTTTTTAAATTTCATATGGGGCGATCGTGGCTCAAGGGTTGGCAGTTCGTCTTGTAATCGGAAGGTTGCCGGTTCGAGCCCTGGCTCGGACAGTCTCGGTCGTTGTGTCCTTGGGCAAGACACTTCACCTACCGCCTACTGGTGATGGCCAGAGGGGCCGATGGCACGATATGGCAGCCTCGCTTCTGTCAGTCTGCCCCAGGGCAGCTGTGGCTACAACTGTAGCTGCCTCCACCAGTGTGTGAGAGTAAATGAATAGTGGCATTGAAAAGCGCTTTGGATGCCTTGAAAAGCGCTATATAAATCCAATCCATTATTATTATTATTAAATTTCATTCCGTCTCCCCTTTAGCATCGCCTGGATATTACCAACCACCATACAAACAGATGTGTGTTCAGGGTGTTCCTGCTTATGCAAATTCAGTCATTTAAAAAAAAAAAATAGTCGGCCACTCACTTTAGTATTCTGATTTCTGATTTGAAATTTGTGGCCGGAAGGTCATTATTCCTGCTGGACTGTTTTTTGTTTTTGTTTTTTTAAATGCCAGTTTTTGATCACACCTTTCAAAACATAATAACAAAGGCTGCTAAAAGCATAAATGCAACTCTAATTCAGAGTCGCTGCAAAATGTGTGGCTCCATTTTAGCCAAAGCAACGCCTCTATCAGACTGTTAAAAAAAAAAAAGAAAAAAGGATCAAACTAGAAAATGGTATCCACATAAGCAATATGTGATGAGCACAGAAAGGCTTTTTTGTAAATGCCAGCGCTGTTATCAGCTTTCCTCTCTCTGCACACAGTCAGTAAATCACCTGTTTTTGTGTTCTGGTCAGCTTGGCGATACCTTGCACATTATTCTGTTTGCAATCCTTCAGTGAATCTGGGCCACAATGTGCACTGATGCACATTAACAAAGGCTCCTCTCTGCCGTGTGTACCTTTCTTTCCCGTGGAAGTGAAAAGCAGGAGATAGAGTTACATCTAATGAGAAAAGGACTTCACACCCCATTGGTTTTTCTCGCCACCTGGAATCCAGGCCACCGCCACTAAAACCTCAACGGCAAAATTAGGGTTGAACGGGAAAAGGAAAAGTGCTCCGAGAATAAATATGCACGCTCGTCTGCTTTGTCAACAGCAAATTGACAAATTACCTGCCACTGTTCTGTTTTCACTGCGTTCAGGGGATAATTGAACGTTACATGACCCGGACTCCCTTTGCCTAAAAACACATTGAATTTGTTAGCGAGAAAGGGAGGCTGTGATTTCCTGAGGAACAAAATCAGCAAGACAGGAATGATGAACGCTGAAGTAAAAGACCAATTTGGCTGATAAAATGGTAAAGCTTTGCAGTCTGCCTCATGCGTGAAAGTTACTGTCCTGAGCTCAAAGGCACTGGCTCACCTTCACTCCTTTTTTCATTGTGGATTTTCTTCCTTTACTTGGTTAATTGGAAGACAGGCCTGTTTTTTCAAGTTCAAAGGAGGAACTGTTCCTTCATGAGCTCTTTTCCATAAGTAGGAGCTCAGTAAGCTGACATGATTACACAGAGACCCACCTGGACTCATGAAAGCCAGACAGTCCCAATGGCAGTGAGTCGAAGCTAATTAAAAAGTGTGAAGAGACTTGGGTGGCTTTAATGTTGCTTTAACATATTTGTTACTAAAAATTCATTTATAATATAAGTTCTAAAGCCATACTGTTTTATTTATATCACTGTGAAGAAAGTTAAATGCTGATAAAAGAACAAAGTTACCCTACTACAGTCAATCATTTTACCTTTAAGAACACGGATAAAAGTCAATCCGGTGAACGCCTGGTAGGTCAATAAAGCTTAGCATGTCGATATTGAGCCAAAGTGCAAAACTCAGCTCATTTAAATGGTCCAGCTTTAGGTGAATGAAGTAAATAGACTTACAGTCTTCCTGTGGAACGTCTTTGAACTTCATGAAGGGTGGTCGTGGCTCAGGAGGTAGAGCTGCTCATCTTCCAGTTGGGAGGTTGGTGGTTCGAACTGGGGGGCCAAAGTATCCCTGTGTGAGTTAATTGGTGTGTGAACGTTAGAACTTAAATGCAGGGGAAGACTGTATAAATACATGGACACAATCAAACAAGCACCAAAGCGCTACGTGAGAAACGGTTCATTTAGATGCTGAATGGTGAATCTCAAGCCACCTGTCATTTCTTTATAGTTTACTAGGAAAATGTGAAATACCTGTACTGATTTATTTATCTAGAAATGGTCAGGTACAAGGACGGGATGGAACATGAGTGAAAAAGCAGCCAATGTCCAAATAAAGGCTAAAAGACATAACTTTACACTGACCACTTTACACAATCAACCTCAATTATCAAAGTAAACAGAACATAACAAAAAGGCAAGGCTAACACTAAGACATGAAGGTTCATATTAACCCCAATAAAAGAGCAGAGAAGGCACTGGAACACAAAAGAGACAGAGGGAGGCAAAGACAGTGAAACACAACATTAGAAGCAAAAGAATCAACACAAGGAACCGAAATTCAGCAAATACTGAACAAAACCTTTGGACCATGACAGAGATGCCCACCTCCTACAGCTGAATCCATATTTCACTGACAGACGAGAGTGGTTTCAATCATTTCATTTCACTCTGAGTGAAAGTGAATGAGCTCATAGCCACCACATTTATTTTCTCTGCTAATCTCTTTACATAAAGTAAACTGATACAGCAGGTCTCTTTTTCAGTGACATCACCCCTCCCCATCAACTGAACTAAAAGGAGAAATGTTGCAGCATTCAGCTAACTGAACACATTTTACACCAGTGTTTACAGGTAATTTTACTCTGAGGAAGAGGTTTTGGTGTGTGGCTGTGCCTGATAAACAGGGAAGGGCCGTCTAATTCAGCCTGCATAAATGACATTTCTGTGCGGCAGATTGCTTGTTGATGGTAAACCATTAAGACAGTGAGTCACTGGCTCACTGGGGATGTTTTTTAAAGGAAGGCTGATACTGTCAAAGACAGGCCAACAATCCTGTCTAAGAGAAGAAGATGCTCTTGATAAAACCTGAGAGCTGATGTTTCAAGGTTGTTTGAACTCTGTCTTAATGAGCTGGACGTTTTCCAGTGGGTATTAGCATTTAGATGAAATGTGTGTTAAAGTGGTTTGGATCTTATGGACTGTCGGTGCATTAGCCACAGCTGATTTTCTGAGAATACATGTTAGTGGATGTACATATTAGGGCTGTAGATTGAGCTTCACTACTATAAACAAATGGTCATCAATTTTTAGTTTCATCTAGTAAAAAGTGTATTCATGACTCAGTATGCAGTCTATTTAAAAAAGAAAACTATTTGATACTTAAAATCAAACTGCCACCCTGCTGTGTGTCTCGTGTGCTGATTTCATATGCTGAACACATTTGTCCTGTGGTTCTTTGCAGCTCTGGTGGTGAGATTTCTGACCAGACGCTTCATCTGGGAGTATGACCCCACACTTGGTAAGACAGCCCAAGAAACGTGTATCCCCTCCTGCTGTTACTGCCATCTCCTGTATCTGCAGTAATTGTACACTGTCAATTTTATGGTTTCATATGAAGTTCTTATAATACATATAGTCCTTAACTAAGTTGATTATTTAAAGCTATCCCCAGGTGTAAAAAACACACAGCAGATTCCACTAATTTTACAAAGCCTAAGCCAGTTACTTGTAGAACCACCTTTAGCAGCAATAACTTGAAGTAATGGTTTTCTGTATGACTTTGTCATACAAGTGTTGTATGGCACAGGTGTCTTAAAGTCCCAGCACAGCAATTCAGTCAGTTCAAGGTCTGGTCTTTGACTGGACCATTGCAACACCTTGATTCTTTTCTGCCATGCTACCGCTAATGTGAAATCTTCTATAACTAGCCTAGCATTACTTTTAGCTTTGTGCCCTCTTTCTGTAAGTTTAGCCAAAAATTGAAAGCAGGAGAAACATCTTGTTCAGGCATTTTTCCTGCATGAACCTCTCTAAAGATGACATAATGAAAATGTGTTTGCTTTTGGCACAGCTAGGGTAATGGCTTTCCCCAGCTAGCTTCCAGCTTTTAATCTAAGGTAAGCTAGCTGCTGCTCGTTTTAGTTTTCATAGTTAGCATAGGTTCATATTAGTGCTGTTAGCGTTAATCTCGTTAAAATAACGTTAATTCCATAACTGCATTAATGCGGCAAATCTTCGTTAGCGAGTTAACGTGGATTGCCCCGTGCGTGGGGCTGGACGGCGCTAACGCGTTGACGCCCTGCGATGAGAGATTTAACGAGATTCACGCAGACAGCACTAATATATACCAAATCTCCTCATCTAACAGGAAAAAGAGAAAATGGAAATTCTAGGTGCAGGAGTTATATCATGGGCACTATCATGGCCAGCAAAGAGCTAGCACTTTAATCTTCTGCGCAAATGTTTATCTGGTGAAAACAGAATAAAAGCAATAATTGATTCATTAAAAATTCTGGGATAAAGTGCTGAAACTGCTACAACTCAGCGTAATGTAAAATTGTTGTTGGGGGGTTTTTCTTATCAGTGCATTATATACAGTAGAACTGGCCTTTTCATACTCTGGTTGAACCAGTTCTCTACATTGTAATTATGGGACACAAAGTGCCTCCTCTATAATGTGCTTTTCATTTCCTGGCTGTGCTTGGCAGGTCAGCGCCTCTGGACTGTTCACATGATGCTCCTTCAATAGCCTGCCTGTTCTTAGCAATACATGGTGCAGTACAGTGCAATCACCAACATAAAGCAGACCGCACTCAGGAGCATAATTAATCCATTTTCATATAATAACATAATGATCACAGTCATTATGGCCTCTGTGTGACATCTCAACATATGCCTGTGAGACTGCTGAGATATGTTCAGGTGCTAGACCAACAGAGAGGAAACACTTTAACGAAAGCGATATGATTCTGGATTTCTTTTACATTTAGCATACGTGGCATTTAGATCATACTCAGCTGCCACCCATCCACATCTTACTACTTTTTTACAGTATAATGTATTGCCACTGTGCCAGCTTCATATTACACGTCTGCTGTTTAAACTCAAAGTAGGGAATGTGGTAGAAATCAGGAAAAGAGCAATAACTGCTTCCTTGGTTACAACAAGAGGTTACGTCACAACCCCTTGAGGTCTGTAATGGAAATAACAGCACCGCTGGAGGGTGTCTGTGACCAATCAGACTGCCTGGATGAAATTACCCTCAAAGTGCTCAAAACATCATTAAAACACTATTATGAGCAGATCGCACAGGTAGGGGGTTTGCATGCTGGAGAATTACTGCCGCAGTGTGGGCTGCACTCCATCTATCTCAGTATGCCTTCCAGTAGCTATTGCTCACCATTCATCTCCATTTATTATCTACCTATTTATCTGGATCAGGTTTACAAACAAGCTCAGATCTTATTCCCTGCAGTGAATTGTCCCTTTTCAGCCTAGATGTACGAAACAGCCCAAGCAGAGCTATCTTGTGCATCTTCAAAGGCAGATTTTATTTCAGGGGACAGTAGATTTACTGTGACTGCAAAAAATTCAGGCTTAGCGAAGACAATTTTCTGCAGGATAGTGCATATACACTGTGTATAAAGGATGTATGTTGCTGTTGTGACATCATACACTAGTTACTACTTTGTGAAGTAGTGGTTAAAAGCCTCAACTTGACAACTGTGGCTCTCCCATCGTGCATTTTTTAAGCCAGGTTTAAGGAATGATTGGTTGAAT